ATAATAATGTTACTGTAACATTTTTCCATCTTCTCTATATAACTGAGTAACATTAGTATACACTTACTCAAGAAACCTATCAGTTCAGTCTATAGAAATGCTTACTGAGTGCACCCATGGATTCCTCCCTGACCTGTCCTTAATGGCCACAGAATAAGATGCACCAGTTCACACTATGAATGGTAGATACTGAATAAATCAAAGAATTAATCCAATATGTAACAGTCTTTGTCAAAGGTCTGAACCATTCGGTTTTTAATTATTCAGATATGCACAATCACTGAACGAAAGTAAGACCATCAATTTGGTGGTAAGCTGTTTATTCTACTAAGGTGATGTCAGTCAACAAGTTCTGAATGATCACACCTATCTTTAAAATATATGGGTAAGACTCATGCAGGTATTTATATTCCTATCAAGACACATTCAGGTAATTACAATAAAGTGATTTTTTAAAAAATATAACTTACTATGCTCTTAACATTATCTTATTAAACCAAAAAATTCTGCAACCTAGTATTCTGATTAAAGCATATTAACCATCACAAACTATATTTAACCAGCAGAATAAACTATATGCAATAGTTAGCTAACTTTTCTGGTTAAGTACTATCCATAAAGTTTTTGTGTTTGCTTAATCCCTTGGTTCTTAAACTACACTAATATACTGCCTCACATTTAAGATTCAGCAAAGTATATAGAATATTTTCATTGATAAAGATGATATTACAAGTCCACTGAAAATATCCAGTTAAGGATTATCTAGATACAGTAGGTTAGAAATAATGATACAAAATATTTCCTTAACAAGTGATTTCCTGGTTAAATATCTAACTCAAACTTAATTTTCCTGTGAGCTACACCTCTTCTAAAACAAATTACAGAATAAAAATGACTTAGTTAGGTTCCAAGTAATCAAGATTTTGCTATTTTCTGTATAGAACAGATCACAGAAAGTTTATTTTAAAAAATACTATGGGAAATTGCTATATTCTCTAAAAGCAGAGTAATAAATTCATAAGGCTTTTTTATTCCCCTCGGATAAACAAGTGGTATTCAGTTTTTGATCAATATTGCATAAATAAATCTCTGTTGAATAAAGTCTACCAGTCCAATTGGATGACACTGATACAGAACAGTGGCCTGGACATTATTTGCTTCAAAAACAACTACATGACAGAATTTAGTGTGACTCAAATTAACAAAATATTCTGGGAACAGAGTATATTCTTAACAAGATTGACATGGACAATGAAGATTTCAGAGGAAAGCACTTGAATTCTCGATGCCAGATTAGTGGCAAAGGCCTAAAGAATGATTCGTAATTCTAAAAAAACTTTTTGAAGGCTATGGACATACTCCCCCTCACCAAAACACACACAGGCAAATTCTAATTCACAAATCAGACCCTAAAATCCAGGTTGGTGGCCCTTGATATAGAAAGTTGAAGAACTAACTGAGACACAGAAGACAGGGAGAAGGACTTAAAAGGCATAGAATCATGTGGCTTTGTGGCATCATCTGTCTCACGAGTGCACACATACATTTGGACCACCCTTTAAGAAATGTAAGCGATCCCCTAAATCCAACAGGCCTAGTAAGTCTTCTTCAGTTGAAAGGAAAACAAAAAACAAAAAACCTACATGTGCAAAGATGTTACTTTACACACACATGATTACTATATTACTTCCACCTGTAGTAACAAAGCTTTGGCCAACATTTAGCTCCCTGCTGCATCAGTATCTTTTAAAACAGTGCCCCCCGGGGGGGAGGGAAAAAATAAAAAAATAAAATAAAACAGTGCCCCCCACACACTAGAACTCAGTAACAACTGAATGAATAAATGTATCAGCATACTTTCACTTAAGCCCAGCACACTCTGATAACCAAAAAACTCCCAATAAGCCCATTATAACAACAAAATTAATTTTGAAGTACAATTTTCTCCAAAAGGAATTTAGATACTAACCTTTCACCATATATCCCAGAATCTGAAAGCAGTGACAAAGATTCTTAAATACAGTTTGGCTTTAGAATTAATAAATTCCTTATGAAAGTGAAAGAGGAGAGTGAAAAGTTGGCTTAAAACTCAATGTTCAGAAAATTAAGGTCATGGCATCCAGTTCCATCACTTCATGGCAAACAATGGAAACAGTGAATTTTTGGGGGCTTCAAAATCAGATGGTGGTGACTGCAGCCATGAAATTAAAAGACTCTTGCTCCTTCGAAGAAAAGCTATGGCCAACCTAGACAGCATATTACAAAGCAGACATTACTTTGCTGACAAAGGTCTATCTAGTCAAAGCTATGGTTTTTCCAGTAGTCATGTCTGGATGCGAGAGTTGGACTATAAAGAAAGCTGAGCACTGGAGAATTGATGCTTTTGAACTGTGGTGTTGGAGAAGACTCTTCAGGGTCCCTTGAACTGCAAGGAGATCCAGCCAGAACATCCTAAAGAAATCAGTACTGAATACTCATTGGAAGGACTAATGCTGAAGCTGAAACTCCAATGTTTGGAGTTTGGCCACCCAATGTAAAGAACTGACTTATTGGAAAAGACCCTGATGCTGGGAAAGATTGAATGCAGGAGGAGAAGGGGATGACAGAGGATGAGATGGTTAGAAGGCATCACCAACTGGATGGACATGAGTTTGAGCAAGCTTCGGGAGTTGGTGATGGACAGGGAAGCCTGACATGCTACAGTTCATGGGTTCACAAAGATTTGGACACAACTGAGCTGAACTGAATGGAGATAAGTTAAAAAATCTGCCTTAAAAATAAACAAAAACCTACAAATAAAATCAGTTTCTCCTAACTTAAAGTGGCCCCTTTCAACCTTGTCAAACATCAAAGTTAAACTGGACCCCTTTAGGGGTTTCAGGCTTTAGGACTCCAGTGCCAAGAGGGCAACCCATGCAGTCCTTCAGTGATCTGCGGCTTAGTTTCCTTACACAGAAGAAATAAACCAAGTTCAGAGTTTTCAAGTTCAGAGAGCAACAGGTGACTCCTAGGCATACCTTATTACTTCTGATAGAGACAATCAGGGAGAAAAAAATGGAAAACAAAGAATCAAACTTTGATTCTTCAATTCCTCATAATACGAAGTGTCTTAACCATTTCAATGGCAAACTCCCCAGGGACATAAGAATCACCTCTCACAGATTTCTGGGTCAAAATAACAAAATAAGATCACTAAGAACCATTAGAGAAGAATGAAGACTTCAGCAAGAACATTTAACATGATTTATAACCGATTTACATGTCATTTTCAAAAACAAACCTATCAGATTGAGAAAGATAGAGAGTATATTTTAGGAAAGAATGTTCAAGAATTATGGATGTTCCAGTTAACCAATTCTTATTGCTCCACTAAGACATAATGTTGCTAGATCCTAGCAAGAGCTGACAGAATCATTCTGGTTCTTTCATGTCACAAGTGGGAACAGGAAAAAAAAAAAATTCACCTAAATGAGTGAGATACATTTGTTCCATATATGAGTTCCAGATACATGGTCAAATGATCTTCAAGGGCGCCAAAAACACTAAATGAGGGAAGGAAAAGTTCCTTCAAAAAGCAGTGCTGGGAGGTGTGGTTTTCTACACACAAAAAATGAAGTGAGAACCTTATCTTACACCATATACAAAAAATTAACTTAAAAAGTATTAAAGATTTAGATGTAAGATCTAAAACTATAAAACTCCTACAAGAAAACATAGAGGAAAGTGTTTATGACACTGGAGTTGGCAGTGATGTCTTAGCTCTGATACCAAAAGCACAGGCAACAAAACCAAAATCAACAAATAGGACACATCATACTTTAACAACTTCTGTGCATCAAAAAAACACCACCAAGAGAATGAATAGGCCACCTATGAAAAGGGAGAAAATACCTGTAAATCATGTATTTTTACATGTAAAATATCATGTAAATCATGATAAGGAGTTAACATCCAGAATATATAATGGATTTCTATAATTCAACAAGAAAATCAAATTAACTCAATTTAAGAATGCATAAAGGACTTTAAACAGACATCACTCCAAAGATGACATACAAGTGGCTGGAAACCAATGAAAAGATGCTCCATATCACCAGTTATTAGCAAAATACAAATCAAAATCACAGTATCATCTCACACCAGTCAGGATGACTGCTATCCAAAACACAGAAAACAATAAGTGTTGATGAGAATGTGGAGAAACTCAAACTCTTGTAACACTCTTAATGTGACTGCAAAGTGGTGCAGCTGGTATGAAAAACAGTATCAAAGTTTCTCCAAAATTTAAAAATGAAATGAAACCACATTTGATCTGGCAATCTCATTTTTGAGTTTATGTCCAAAAGAATTGAAAGAAGGGTCTTAAAGAGATGTTCACACACCCATATTCATAACAGCACTATTTACAATAGCCAAGAGGTGGAAGCAGCCTGTATGTTCACTGACAAGTAAGTGAATAAACAAAATATGGCATATAGATGATGGAATATTATTCACCCTTAAAAAGGAAAGCAATCCTGTTATGTACACAACATGGGTAAACCTTGAAGACCTAGTGCTATGTAAAATAAGCCAGTCACAAAGAGACAAAGTGATTCCATTTATATGAGGTATCTAAAGGAGTCAAATTCATAGAAACAGACAGAATAGTGGCTACTGGGGAGTGGGGGATAGGTTGTTTTAGGGGTACAGTGTTTCAGATTTGTATAAGTTTTGGAAATCTGTTTCATGACACTGTGGAAAAAATACACACACACACACACACACGCATATATAAAACAATACTGAACATTTAAAAGTGGGTAAAATTAGAAATTTTATGTTTCTTAGATAATAATGATTTGTTATGCTATTAACATTTATTGAAGTAGTCATACTTCAATATGGTAATTATTAGGTAGAGTTTAAAAACACTAAAAAATCCAGGATAGTAATGCCTAAAAGCTTCTGAACAGTATTACGGATTTTAAGAAAGTAAGATTATTAAAAATCCTACTTACCTTGGCTTGTCTCTTTTTTCTCTTTGTCTTTCAAAATCTCGTCCTCTGTCCTTTCCATCTCTTGGTTTTTCCTCTATCCTGTCTTTCACTTTATATTTTTCTTTGTATTTTTTCCCCAGAGCAATATCTTCCTGTATAGGAGGGGGTGGGCTAGGAGTTCGAGGTCCTTTCTTCTTACTTTGGTTGCTTTTTGAATTCCTAAAGTTAACACAAAGCTGTCAGAAGTCTAAAGACTTTTAGAAGGTGAAATAAGTATTTTTTTTTTATTTTAACAAAGCACAATTAAAGAATGGTTAGCATTCTTTTCAATAACTTGCCATTTACTATTTTATATACTAGTAATCAATATCCCCCCAACAAAAAAAAACCAGAGAAATGAGCAAAGATTTACTTGCTACCTATTTCATTAACAGTGCTTACTATGTAATTTTAAAAGGTAGATTTCTGAGAAAAGATAGAGGTAGAATAGGAAGAGATTTAGGAAAGAAAATGTCATTAAAAAAAAAAGAACTGAAAAAATTTTAAACTTATTATAAAAAAGTAGATAGGAAAGTAAAAATCACCTACAATTCCATTCATTACCCAAGGACAGCCGATAGTAACACCATGAATAAACATCTACACTTTTTCCATGTCTTTTCCTTTTTTCTTCCCTGCCTACCCCCATATGCACAGTCATAAAGCAATGCTTTTTAAAAATTGTTTGTACTACATACAGTATTGGTATATTTCTATAACAAAAAGTGGATTCTTATAATTATTCTTATGGACTGTACAGAATTCCCCTAATAGATATGCTCTGTAACTTCTTTATAAACAATTTCACATTGATAAGGTTTTTAGGTGGCTTCCATGTTTTCAGCATTATAAAGAACAATTACATCAAGTGTAAATGAAACCCTAAGCATTGTTAATAAACATTTATTTAAATCTTTGTTTTATATATTAAACATCCATTTAAAAGTTTTTCCAACTCTTAAGACTACAGAGATGATCCTTTAAATTTTAGAATTTTGTCTTTCCTGGTTTTAATCTATCTGGAACTGACTAAGTACTGTAACTCTGAGCCCTTACACATTACAAATTGTCTTCATACCTTGACAGTTGTTTGACTGAATACTAGAGCATTTCAGAATGGTATCTTTTCTCCTCAGAGCTCTATAAATACTGTTACAATATCTTGCAGTGTTTAGTGTTTTGGATGAAAAGTCCAAAGAGAGTCAATTACTTTTCCCATGCAGGTTTTTCAGCTTTTCCGCTGGTGTGCTTATAAAACATTACTCTTTGGAAATTAAAAATCTCACCAAGATAAATCTAGGTTTTCTTGTTTAACCTTTCCAGAACTCAGTGTGCTGCTTCAATCTGAAACCTTAAGTGTTTTGCTCATTGTTCTTCCTATTCTTATTCCATCAATTCTCCACAGGACCTGGGGCTCTCTAGTTTGCTTTAATGCAGTTACTGCATATCTCCTAGGTCACTCCTCCATTATCTTTCATTATTCCCATCTCTCCTTTTGCATTCCAGTATCTTAAATGTGTTTTCAAATTCAGTAAGTTTTCTTTTAATTCTACATTTGGCAATCTCATTATTCTGTTATTTCCAGTATAAAAATCATTTTCATTCCAAAATATCCTTGTTCACAGACTGCTTTAATTTTTTCAGGATCAACTGCTCTCAACAGATCAATGCAATATCCTCTCAAATCATACTAAAATTCTGAATTAATTTATTGTTTCAACTCATTCCTATTTTCTGCAACATGGAACGTTCAGTCTGGTACTGAGTTTTAAAGGAGTCCTTTCTTTTCCAGTACCTGGAAAGTTTTCACTAGCTACTTATTTCACTACCTATTGATATTTATAAATTATGACCTAAGCCAAAATCCTAGAATTTACTACCTGTGACCTTGAGTTCTCTAGCCCAAGATTCCTTATCTAACTAAAAAAGTAACAGGTAGTATCCTCCTCAAAATTGCTGGTAAGACTAAAAACAGATAAAAAAAGCAACTGACTCAGAGTGGGCATTCAGAAAATTTGCCTTAGTCTTTCTCCCTACTTATTATCACAGATAGGGTAAACCATTCAGCAAGTCAGAAATTATTAAAATATGACCAGATCTGCTTTTCATCTTTGTCTTCTGCCAAGAACCATTATTAGATCTACACCTCACTGCATATTTATGAGATGACTGAGACCTTTAATGTATTTAACAGGTAAGTGATAAATGTCTTTTCCATTTAAAAGACAGGCTGGGGGTGGGGGAGGGAAGCGGAAGAGGGAGGGGACATGTATACTTACAGCTGATTGAGTTGTTGTATAGCAGAAACCAAAACATTGTAAAGTAACTGTCTTCCAATTAAAAAAGACACACTAATCAATAGTTGATACAGATAATATCAACATTACTAAAAAACCATTTTCAACCATTATCATTTCAAAATGATAGAGGAATTCTTGACACAAACTGTATTTTCACATTACTGCCTGTGACAGAGACTAACTAGGTATTTACTAAACGTTTCTCCTCACCATACTGTTGAATGATACTCTATAGACAGTTATAAAGTTAGATGTAACCAAATGACCAAGTTCTGGCCAAAAGAACATAAGAGGAAGTGATGTATACCACTTCCACACCTAATTAATAAAAAAGTCTCTCATATTTCAGGTAATTATAAACTATATAACTAAATAAGTGCAATACTCTTTTTTGCTTTGCATATTTCATTTTTTGGTCCTCAATAATATAGGGAAGTGAAGCCACAGTCAGAAGGAGCTTAGTTACTCTATCCATGTATAGGAGAAGTGAAAGTCACTCAGTCGTGTCCAACTCTGCGACCCCATGGACTATAGCCTACCAGGTTCCACCATCCATGGGATTTTCCAGGCAACAATACTGGAGTGGGTTGCCATTTCCTTCTCCAGGAGATGTTCCCAACCCAGGGACTGAACCCAAGTCTTCCACATTGTAGGTAGAGCCACGCTTTACCGTCTGAGCCACCAGGGAAGTCATGTATCGGAGAGTCACCTCTTAATCAGAAATACCATTCCTTACTTGAGTGAGAAATAAACTTCTGGTTGTGTTAAATCCACATTCTTGGAGTAAGCTATCGTAACAACCAAGATTACAACACTACACTCAATAAAGTGCAGAATTTCTTCAAATACCTTCAAAAATATACGTATTCAATAATTGGGAAACAGTTGTGTCACAGATAGAGTTTGCAAGTGCCTTCCAACAGAATGAGCCAAAACTGGTCGTGTGCACTCTGCAGCCAGCAAGATCTTTCAACATTTTTTTAAGTCAAATGATAGTCCTTTGAGGGGCACATAGCTCACTTCCTATTTGTGGCACAGAGTTCAATTATCTACTTCCATCACTTTTTAGAGCCGATCTCTCTCTCCCCAAAACTTAATTCTTTTGAACAGCTTTTGACACACTTCACACATCTTTGTACAAAAAAATTACTGATATAAAGAAAACTTTTCTTAATGAAAACTGAGAAACAACAGGGATGAACAGAAACAATAAAACATTTATTGATTTTAAGCCATTCTTACATCTTAGCATAAAGCTTAGTATCAGACTATCTCTCACAACAAATGTCACAGAAAACTGCTAACTTTCAGGGAGAAGTGTGAGTCTTAATTTGTCTGTGATTATCTCTGTTCCTTCAATATGATAACCACGTAAAACCAAGGAGTTAGGTTACCTGATTTCCCCCTCGGTTTACTTACTGGCATTGGTTGCAATATTCCACTGAATTTTAACTGAAATTCTAATCTTTATTTGTTGTTGAATGTCTTCAAACAGTTTATCGTATGATCCACAATGAAACTATAAGTTGATGATCTGACACCCTCCAGGCAATGTAAACTGCATGACTACAGAAGTGCTATATCCAATTCAGTGTTTTCTTTGTATCTTCAATGTACTGTTTTCCAGGTCCTTCTATGTCTATTATTAAATTAATGATGCATCTTAAACTCAGGATCGCATAATACAGAAATATAATAGTTAAATCAATATAATTATTCATGTGTGCATGCTAAGTTGCTTCAGTGATGTCTGACTCTTTGCAACTCCATTGACTGCAGCCTGCTAGGCTCTCCAGTCCATGGGATTCTCTAGGCAAGAACACTGGGTTGCCATTTCCTCCTCCAGAGATCTTCCCAACCCGGGGATTGAACCTGCCATCTCCTAAGTCTCCTGCATTGGCAGGTGGGTTCTTTACCACTAATGTCAACTGGGCAGCCCCCAATAATTCATGCTCAATATTGAAAGGATAAGTGAATTACCAGTAAGACTGTTAGAGAAGACTACATGAAAAACAGGAGGAAAGTAACCCTCCAAATAAATAGGTATCAAAACTTTTTATGAAGAGATTAAATACTGAAGATTTCATAAATAACAAGGATAAGAAAATGAAAAGGAGTGTTTCTGGTATGCTGGGTTTTGGGGGGAAATAAATGGAATTAGGGGAATTTATATAATTGGTTAATTAAAAGGAAAAAGAACAGATGGGTTAAATCTTATCACTCTGTAGTTCGACTTCTTTCATATCCCTTTACTCAATTCCAGGAGCAAAGGAGAGAATTAAGCCTACTTTACAGAGTGCCTTATTATAAGGCAAAGCTCTTTGAAGAGCAGGTGCTATGGAAATATACAATAGTGAACCATCAAGATGCCAGTCTTCAGGAAGCTTAAATTTAATAGAAGTTGTAAAGCATGTACACCACGGCTAAAATATAATAATGGAAATAGCAGTTAGTATTATGCAAAAGGTATAAATAAAATCTGATAGATATACAAAGGGAGCAGAAATTATGTTCAGTAACGAGAAATGGGAAATCTTAATGCAAAGACAGAATTTGAGCTAGACATTGAAGGACTAAAGATGATGAGTGTAGGAGGAAAATTGGACAAAAATACGGACAAGACTGAGAAGATCAATATATGAATTCCCCTCTAAAAAAATCTGAATTTCATTCAATAGAATAGAAAGCTACTGAGTTTTTCAATGACATAATAAATTAATAGGAATTATTCTTTTAAGATATCTCTTACAACATTTGTAAAGTGAACAGTTATGGCAGCTGAATGAATGCATTTACATGTGTGAGGGAATGGGACACTAGATAAAGTAAATATAGTTTGTAGGATGATATATTAATAATAAACTAGGCAAGAAGTAAATGAAGTCTAGAACAGGGTTAAAGCCTCCAGAAACTAGAGGGAGAACAAATATAAATTTCATAATGGGGTCATACAGACATCTACCAACTGGTCAAATATCGAGAAAAGGTTTTCAGTTTAGACTTGTTCTTAAATAATAAATTAGTGTATGCCCTTTAATTGAAATCAAATTTAAAATTTAAAGAGTACAGATGACATTTTATGGAAAACTATCTCCTGCCTTATTTTCAACCCCTCAATGTAATTTGTTTCTATCCTTATTCTTTCAACTGGCTACTACAACAATTCTAAAAAATTTATTCATACTGCTTCATACACCAGGAGACAAGAAGAATGTTATTCACTGTGCATAATTTGTCATAACTAAAACCTGGAAATGACTTAAATGTTCAGTAACAAAAAAGTAAATATATGAATATTAATATGAAAGAACTATGGCTATATATATCAACATAGGTAAATGTAAAAAACTGCCAAAAAAGCCAAGTAAAACAGTAAATTGCAGAAGAAAAGCTATATCTACATTAAGACTAAATAAATGAAAATATTATATGTTGTAAGATAATACAATATGGAAGTATAAACATACATGCACAAGTATCATAAACAACAAATTCAAGGGGGAAGGGCAGGAAATACACCTGCTTAGTTCTGAGGGGAAAAAAAGTTCTGAAGCATATATAGGTATGGTACAGATCTTTGTTTCATCGTTCTCTATAATCTTCTTTTAAATGGAAACTTTCCATACTTTTTTTTTTAAATAAAAAAGCTTATATTAAATGTTCAATGTATTAAAAGTATCCTTTTGTAATCTACTAAGTAATTCTTTTGAATATCATGTCAGAAAAAGCTATTTCATTCTGGCACTATTTATCACCCTACTGACCTCTGTTGGTCCAACAATGGAGAAGATACTGCAGTTGTCTTCCTGTCTTTCTTGCTAGTTGAAGATGATGACTTAGGGCTTGATTTTCTCTTTGGAGATTTGCTAGACTTTCTTAGAGAAGGTGATGGAGACAACTTTGATCTAACCACTTCTGGCGAAACCTTTCAAAAGAATTCAGTAAGTCAGAAAGTATACCAATCATGGTTGCTATAATCAGACAACAAAGCAACAACAACAAACTCCAGATAAAACATTAAGTGTTATGACAGCCACCACACATAGTTATCAGCCTGGCTCCTAAACCTATACTGTTAACCAATATGTTAACTGCCCCAACATTAATATCAAAAGTAAAGGTGAAGTTGCTCAGTCATGTCTGACTCTTTGTGACCCCATGGACTGGAGCCCACCAGGCTCCTCTGTCTATGGGATTCTCCAGGCAAGAATCCTGGAGTGGGTTGCCATTTCCTTCTCCAGGAAGATCTTCCCAACCCAGGGACTGAACCCAGGTCTCCTGCACTGCAGGCAGACTCTTGACCAGCTGAGCCACCAGGGAAGCCATAGGCAGTTTGTAGGCTCTTGTTTGGAGCTTATGGCTGTTAACAGGGAAGCGACAGCAGGACTGCAGAGAGAGCTGACCGGAGCTGGCATGGCTGGGGCAGGATGTCCAAGCTCATCACAGACAGTCTAAAACAGAACTCTGCTCAGCACCGGGGGCATCAGGTTCTTCAGCCCCTTCTATATCTGCCACACAGCTATACACACTAGTATCAATAAAGCAAACTAAAATTATGAAATTTCAAAATCTCCTCAGAAAAATCACAAATTATATTCAAATATATTTTATCTCTTTCTACTCTTTAGAAAAGAAACAAGTACTCTATAGAGATAGCATGGGCCTAAAAATCAGGTGTATAAAGATTCGAGTCCCATTTCACATTAGTTGGTGACTCCAGGCAACCGAAACTCAGTTTTGTTTATCTGTTCAATAATAAAAATATGCCCTATTTATCTAATAGCGTAATGTGAAGATTAATTGATTAACATGTATGAAGTATCAATATCCCAATACAATTTGAGATGTAGCAAGCAGTTAATGAGTTCTCCAATCAATATCCATGTTGATGTTAATTACTAACGTATTTCAATAAATAGCATACCTCCTTTTTAATAATAATTTCTTCTCTTTTCTCCATATTTTCTTGTTCCAGCTTCATTAATTCCCTCTGTATCTTTTGACGCTTCATTTCCAAGGACAACTCATGAACATAATCATAATTAATATCTCCATTGTCAGAATCTTTAAAATAAAAATTCCATTACTTTTCAAAAACTATTATAGTTATCTAAACCAAAAACTATAGCAATTTTTTCAACTATTTTTTATACAAATTAAAATGGTAGATTCTTTAATAAGAGTAACACACTTCTAAAAAATAAAGGAAATATATACTGTTTCTATCTGGAGGAGGGCATGGCAACCCACTACAGTATTCTTGCCGAGAGAATCCCCACAGACAGAGGAACCTGGTGGGCTACAGTCCATGGGGTCACAAAGAGTCACACACGACTGAATGACAAAGCACAGCAGCACGCTGTATCTATAAACAATTAAAATTGATACAGCTAATTTCTTTATGAAAAACCAGTCTTAAGGTTCCTGGTTTTCTGTAAGTCATTTTGGGTTGTTTGGGGGTTGGCTTTCCGGTTAGATGGAAGTTTTAAAAGATATAATTAAAATACTCAGCTACAAATTCTAAGTATTAAGGCTACCAAAAGCTTTAATATTTCATACTGTATATGATGTGATTCATTATCTCCCTGCTTTTCTTAAAGACTCATTAGTATTAAGGTTACATTAAATGTACAATACTGTTTCTATAGTTTTGCTTTTTAATTAATATCATTACTAAAGGTAATTTTAATACTAATGTGTACATGAGCTCATTTCTGAATGACCTATAACATTTTCATTATAAATGGTTTGTAGCAGTTCCTTAGATTAAAACTGTCCATCTCTTCAATAGATCTGATACCATGTACTATTTCTATTTACCCTTTCGAAGAAAAGAATATGAAGGTTAAAGAGGGGAAGACAAGGAAGAGTGATGTGCAGACTATTTCATTACAAATGCATATAGATGTTTTCAGAGCCAGCTGGCACCATTCTCTCTTTGTTATTAATGTCAACAGGCCTAGAGAAGGAAATTCCACTGACTGCTATCCTAACACCTGACCACAATGGGACTGACCACTTATAAACTGAAGAGCCTTCTCAAATCACACTTTTAGAACTTAAGATCATCATTTCTTAACCTGGGGTAAATAAAGTGAAGAACTAAAAAACAAAAAAGATAAAGGAGTCCTACTTGATTGCTTAAAGGACAAAAATATGGACATCACTGACATTCTTTATGTATAAAGAATTCCTACTAATTAAAAGGAAAAATGGTCAAAGGACATGAACAGGCAATTCATAAAAAGAAATGCAGGTGATAGATAAATAAGTCTTTTTCATGTATTAAAGAGCCATTTTTCCCCCTTAATGGTAATATTCGGTACTGGCAAAGGTACAGATAAAAGGTATGTTCATTCTCTGGAGGTAGCGATGGAAACTAATACATCCAGCCTGGACAATAATTTGGCAGCCATGAGTAAAAACCTTAAGAACATTCATATCCTTTAATATGACAATTTTACTTTTAGAAATCTATTGCAATTAATAATAGATATAAAAATAAAGCTTTAAATGTATAGTCTTCTATACTGCCCTACAGAAAGATCTCTCCATGTCATACACAAGGTCAAACAACTTCATTTTAACATCTGCAACACATTTCATGATATGAATATATCATAGTTTATTTAACCATTTTCCTTCTGAGAGTTAGTTTGTTTTCAATATTTTGCTGTTATAAACAAGACTTCAATGAACATTGTGACACCTACCTTGGTTTACAAGTGCAAGTATTTTCTTTTCAGAACAGATTTCTCGAATTAAATTTGCTGGAGTAAGTGTAATTTTTAATTTGCCAAACTATACTTGTTTGGCAAACAATATTTTTTTTTTCCCTGACAAACTATACTATTGCCAAGTAGTAGTATATTGCCAAATATACTCAAAATTTGATATTAATGTTTATATTAATATAATTTATATTATATTTTTATAATATTGCCAAACTATACTCAGAAATTTTGGGGGCTCCGCTGGTGGCTCAGACGGTAAAGAATCTATCTGCAATGTGGGAGACCTTAGTTCGATCCCTGGGTCAGGAAGATCCCCTGGAGAAGGGAATGGCAACCTAATCCAGTATTCTTGCCTGGAGAATTCCATGGACATAGCAGCCTGGCAGGCTACAGTCCATGGGGTCATAAAGAGTCGGACATGACTAAGAGACCACACTTTCGCTTTCATACTCAGAAACAGATTTACCAAAGTAAACTTCCACTTGATAATATTAGTATTTTTCACTTCTTCCAGTATGATGGGTGAAGAATGTTATCTCTTTATTTTCATTGATATTTCCCTATAGTAAAGCTGAGCATTTACTGGCCATTTCTATTTCCACTATGCATTACATACCCAATTTTTTAATTTTTTGCCCATTTTTCAACTGAACTCCTTTTCTTATGTATTTGTGGAAGTTCATTATATGTTTATACAGTGTTTTTACTATATGCTTACACATGACACATGTCAAGTATTTTCTTTTAGTGATCTATTTTTAATAGATGACTTCTGTGTTTAGTTAGGTACAAAATTTTAAATCCTTATATAATCAATCTTTTATGGATTCTGGATTTTATGCTTATTTTAGAAGAATGTACATACCTCCAAGATTTCCCAAATATGTTCATACATTTTCTCTTCTACTACAATGGCGCTTTTGCTTTTTATATTACTGCATTGGTCTTTGTGGTAAACAAATATGGTCAGTTTAAGAACCAAACAAAAAAGAAAGACCTAGGGAATAGGAGCTGGAAATACATAAAACAAGTGGGGATGATGAAAAGCTTTATAGGTACATAACAATCTATACTGGATCCTATAGGCAATGGGAAATCAGAGAATTTTAAATAGGGGAGTGAAATGAACTAATTTACTCTTTTAGAAGTTCACTCTAACTCACAGAGAGAAGATATTTATAATATGTATACTGATTAAGAGATTTTACATTCAGACTATATAAAGAACATGCTCTGTGCTTCAGTCATGTCCGACTCTTAGCGACCCCATGGACTGCAGCCTACCAGGCTCCTCCGTCCATGGGATTTTCCAGGCAAGAGTACTGGAGTGGGGTGCCATGGCCTTCTCCGTACAATGAACTACTATATACTAATAAGAATTAATGAACTATAACTATGTTCAAAAATCTTACAAACATATTGTTTTGGCTAAGCACAGAAAGAGTACATGCTAAAGATTTCATTTATGTAGACGTCAGAAACAGACGAAAGTAACCCGTGGTGGTAAAAATCAGACAGCAGGTACCCTCAGGAGGTGAAGGCTGGGAAAGTAGTGACTGAGAAAAGGGAGCATGAAGGGGCTTATGGGACATGAGTAATTTTCTATGTATTGATATGTGCTGCTTACACAAGCCTGTTCTATTGGTGAAAATTCAGTAAGTTGTACACATGAATCATGTACTCTTCTGAAAGTTATTATTATACTTTAATAAAAGAAAATCTTTTGTGAAGATCAGTCTGGGGTTCAAGCAGAGAATGATTTAGGAGACAAGACTAACCTCAACACATGAGGTTAGAGAATTATTTGTAAAACACGCTTATAGGCAACAAATAAGTATCTTAAGAACTAGAATATTAGTAGTAGTAATTTAGAGAAACAGGAGGTTTTGAAAGACACTCAACAGATACAAATGTTGAGATTTATGTTAAGTGTCTGGGTTGAGCGGAAGGAGTCTCAACAATGACCCTTAGACTTTTCGGGAAACCAGTAGGAAAACTGATGCCTTTAATATGGAACTCAGGTAGAGATATCCAACTGGTAATGCCTCAATTAAGAGCTCTACATATTGGGAATCATTAATACGTAGATGTTAATGATGCCCTGGGAGCATGATTTCATCTAGGGAGAAAAACTGAAAGTGAGGGGGAAAAAAAAGTCTTGGCAAGTGGGAAGGGGAAACAACTAAAAGTTTTTAAAGCAGCTTCTAAAGACAAGTGGGTCTCAAAGAGCAGTATGAGGACTCCCTGAGATCTCCAAGACAATTTCTGGAGTTCCAGATGATCAAAAGTATTTCCATAATTCTACATTATTTGCCTGGTTTACTCAATCTCTAGAGTATATAGTGGCATTTTCCAGATGTCACATGATATGTAATACCATTAACAGACTGAATGCAGAAGAAGACACAAAAATCTAGGTATCTTTCATTAAGGTAGTTAAGTTTACTTTAAGAAGTTAAAATGATTTGCAAAAACATCTAAAATATTGCCACCTCCTCCAATTTTTATTCTTGCTTTTGCAAAGCATGGCTGTTTTCCATAAAACTGTATGCTAGATTTACTACTGTCACTGTTTAAGAAATTTAAATTTAAAAATTTTCTCAAACCTAACTTCTAAAATGGAAACTACTGAAGCAGATAATCCACAAAAAGAAAAGCTCTCCAGGGTCCTTAAAAACAGTGAAAAGTGTCTTGAGACTGAAATGTTTGAGAACTACGCATACAGACCAAACTTCTGCAGAGTTTAGCTAAAATTGCTATTTAGATTGAAAATGCACAGGGTAAGCATATTAAATGAGTTCAGTCTCACTCTCTAATTCTATGCTTCAATATTTCTTCAAACAGAAACTTTTAAACCATAGCGATTTACAATAATCAGAACCTATGAGTTTTAATATTGTTACTCTGCTTATTTAACTTATATGCAGAGTACATCATGAGAAACACTGGGCTGGAAGAAGCACAAGCTGGAATCAAGTTTGCTGGGAGAAATATCAATAATATCAGATATGCAAATGACACCACCCTCATGGCAGAAAGTGAAGATGAACTAAAAAGCCTCTTGATGAAAGTGAAAGAAGAGAGTGAAAAAGCTGGCCTAAAGCTCAACATTCAGAAAACTAAGATCATGGCATCTGGTCCCATCACTTCATGGGAAACAGAAGGGGAAACAGTGGAAACAGTGGCAGACTTCATTTTTTGGGGGCTCCAAAATCACTGCAGATGGTGACTGCAGTCATGAAATTAAAAGATGCTTACTCCTTGGAAGGAAAGTAATGACCAACCTAGATAGCATATTAAAAAGACACATTACTTTGCCAACAAAGGTCCATCTGGTCAAGGCTACGGTTTTTCCAGTAGTCATCTATGGATGTGAGAGTTGGGACTCTGAGGAAAGCTGAGCGCCAAAAAATTGCTGCTTTGGAACTGTGGTGTTGGAGAAGACTCTTGAGAGTCCCTTGGACTGCAAGGAGATCCAACCAGTCCATCCTAAAGGAAATCAGTCTTGGGTGTTCACTGGATGGACTGATGTTGAAGCTGAAACGCCAATACTCTGGCCACCTGATGTGAAGAGATGACTCACTGGAAAAGAACCTGATGCTGGGAAAGACTGAGGGCAGGAGGAGAAGGGGATGACAGAGGATGAGATGGCTGGATGACATCACTGACTCAGTGGACATGGGTTTGGGTGAACTCCGGGAGTTGGTGATGGACAGGGAGGCCTGGCATACTGTGGTTCATGGGGTCACAAAGATTTGGACACGACTGAGCAACTGAACTGAGCTGAACTCTTAAGGTAATTTTCAAGTATTAGTCTATAAGTTTTCAGGGATATTTCTTAAACATTGTAGTAAATAGTTTATGCTTGCAGTTAACTGAGCTGAACTCTTAAGGTAATTTTCAAGTATTAGTCTATAAGTTTTCAGGGATATTTCTTAAACATTGTAGTAAATAGTTTATGCTTGCAGTCTCTTGGCTGTCGCACATAATTCAACTCATCTACTGCAGCTCAAAAGCAGTCACAGAAAATACGTAACCAATGGACTTGGCTGTTCTCCAATAAAATTCTACTGCAAAAACAGGTGTCTGGCCCACAAGCTATAATTTTCTATCCCCCGGTCTAAGTTTTTGGCTATCTGATGAAGAAGGAAGTTACATTCTTAAAGTCTTTAGTTTTGTCAAGTATAGTAGAGTAACAAAGCTGAATAACTGAAATAATTATATAAATTATATTAAAATGCCTAGTATATCTACAGATGTGAGTTCCCTCTTTCTGTATTTGTAGTGTGAGACTATAGTGCTCAACTTCTAGATCACAAAAGTAGAGAAGACAGAACACTCATGGTGTGAAAAATAAATGCTTATTTGTTAAAAGACAATGACTTTAAGGTGATTTTCCTAATATTTCATGAACGAATCCCCCAGTTATCATCTGATATCACTTTCTTGAAAGATGAAATCCAACAATTTCTTGGAAATAATCTTCCTAGGTCTTTAAGGTTTAAAAATCTCACTTTTAATATTTTATGCAAAACAATAAATTTCAATTCTCTTAAACCTTGATACTGAGGGAAGTTAAATATTTACAAGTGCAACAAATTTCAAAGTAGCATGATGCTGAACAGGTAAGTTCTGGACAGAACAGCTTTCTTAGCTTTTATTCAGCTACATGCCATTTCCGGCCTTATAACTCAGTAAGACATACAAGTCAATTAGATTCTGAAACAATAGGGAGATTACGGCTGGAAAGTGTTTTGAAGCCCACAGAAAAGCCTACAAAGTGAACAATCAATACACTAACTATATAAACAAAGAGTTTTGAAACTCACCATCTCTATTAGTTTCCCATTCTACATTTTCTTCTTCACTTTCTGGAGTTCTCTCCTTAGTGATTTTTATGTCTTCCTTTTCCCTATGTCTCCCTCTTGAAGATTCTTTCTAAAAAGTACATACATACGTACATATGGGTTATTACATTTATAAAAACTACAAGAGATAGTTACTATAATACAGAATATTTTTAACTTCATCCCTGTTTCATTAAAGAATCAGTTTTGCAAACACTCATCCACTAAGTGGAGGAAGTAACAAATTCTAGAGTATCACCACAATGAAAAGACTGTACTATTATCTATTTTACTAAAAAACAGCAAATGTATGAAGTTTAAGTTTTTAAAAGATACAATGAAAATCAAATACCTTAATATGCATTTGATAGTATACTACATATTCAGTTTCTACATGAACATTACAGGGGTAAAGTTTAAAATGGATCAAATACAACAGGAGGAACTGTGGTTATATTTTAAAACAACTAGAAAAAGGTTACACTGTTCACAGTAGATTCTCAAAAATAACTGCTGATCCAGGACGCATTATATATTACTAACAAACGAGCATTTAAAGACACCTAAAGGAAAATCCAAACTCATCTAATAATTTTATAAATGCCTTAAAAGAGGGGATTTTCTCTATTTTGGTGTGGTAACTAAAATATTTAGAAAAGTTATCTTTATATTGCATCCCCAAAGCCAGAAAGTTGAACATTTCATTCCAGGTATAACGGCAGCCTATACACAAAACAGGATAATAGTAATGCAGCTTGTAAAATTTAATGAAGTATCCTATTATATAAGATGAAAGCTCTAAACCACATTTGACTAAGTGGAAAAACACACAACCTGTGTCACGGAATTCTTACCTTCCCACCACAGTGTCTCACTTTTATTAACACTAAATCTTGACTATGAAAGACACTAATACACAAGGATATTAAGTGCCGAAAGTTCTTTCCGAGCATTACCAGACACAAAATTTGGCTGCTTACAACACAAATTAACTTATCTTTGTCTTCTTTTTAAAGAACTCTAGTATATAATTGCCCCTAAATTTTACTTATCTAGGTAGGAAGTCATGTTTTAAGTATTACCTGCTAAATGACATATACAGTTGCTGATACAACAGAGGCCGACAAATATTAAGAGACAATATAATAGAATCAGTCATGACAAAATGGTGAAAGATCAAAAAAAGGAAAAAATAAATGCACTCCTATTTGTATGTGAGACAAAAGGAGAAAAAGGAACACCATCTATTTTTACTCTTAAAATATATTCTGTGGAATATTAATGAAGAATTATTCTATACGCCATGCAACTTTTGAATGTTCTGTGAATTAAACCCACATACAAATGTGTGTGTATATATACATATATTTATGTAAATATTTAATAAAATTTACCCTACATATTGAAATTATACAATTTTTGCACTGCCTATTGTTTTCCAGTATGACTCTAATAATACTGTCCCCAGTGATCATATATAACTATTATTAAGTACTAGTGTAGGCTTCAATATGTGGTAGAATTTCAAGTTAGGCGATATGCTTTTGCCTAAAACTTTGTCACTATCTCACCTCAAATCAAAATCCTATGGACAGAGGAGCCTGGTGGGCTACAGTCCATGAGGTCGCAAAGAGTTGGACATGACTGATCAATTGAGCTCACCTCAAACCATAACAGAGGAAACAATTTTGATAATACCTAAGGCTCAGGTCATCTATTAAAATGTTGTATTTCCTCATTTTTTCCTCTTCAAACAACAGTGTATAACTTGTTAGGCATGTTATTCCTTGTAAAATAAAATTATTTCTTTCCTCTTATCATATTCAAATGTAAAGGGTCTGCCATTACTTGTTTCATGTAGTACAGAATGGTTTGCTCTATCACCTTCTTGCATTTCTTGAATAGAATGGTTTGTCATCTTACTGCTCTTAAATGCAAATATATTAATTACAAGTACAACCATTTGATTATTATATATTCTAAATTAATCATTCTGGAACATGTACATATTGAAATATTTGTTAAAGAATCACAATATTTTAACCAATACCCATGAGATGAGATATTTTATGAATTCAGAATTATTCGGATTTCAAAATATATTAAGTAACAATGCCAAAAGGGTCTGGAGAAGCAACCTGTGATCAAACATTCAGTTATTTTTCAGCAAAACATGTAAATTCACCAACTAGATAAAGGCTATATAATAAGCTTTTTATCAATTAAGATCTGGTTTTGTTGCCAAGTAAGTCTTTACTTATTAAGTCTAACTTAGAAAAATGCTTCTTTTAATAAAAGTCTTTTACATTTCAGAAATGCAGTAAATAATTGTGAACTTTTACTTTCACTTTATTTCTACTTTATATCACTCATATTTATTCCTTAAACATTATATGTATGGACAGGTTATATTTGTTACAAATTTTATTTCTAGCTAGTAAGAAACCATTAACAAGATTATTATTTTAAAAGAAGTGTTGAGGCTAACAGAACAGAAAGACAATATTATTAATATAGTAAGTGATTAGCAACCATAATAATAAAATATAGGGGTCCTTGAAGTAATATAATTCAACCTCATACCCCATGTAGAAAATTTTTTCCTAAATTCTGTGTGGTTGTGCAAGTCTTCTATTAGAAGAATTTCAGGGGAGAAAAGTTACTCCAAAGGACTCCACTGATAGTTCTCCACTGCTGCATTCTTTGCTCCCATTTTTAGATAGTTCTAAACATTAGAAAATCATTTCATATATTGATCAAAACTTTCTTATATTGATACCTCTCCAGAATATCTACTGATTGGAACTACTTTTGACCTCTACAATCATGTAAAACAAATCTAGTAATTCTTCCACATGATAGCTATTTAAATATTTCCACATTGTTACTAAATCTTTTCAATATCTTCTTATATCAGGACAAAAATACTCTTCACAATGATCATATGTTAACATTTCATATTTTCATACCCTTCACTACTCTGTCATTTTCTCTGAGCACACTAATCTCACAATATTGCTTCAATAAAATATGATAACTAGAATTAATTTAGTCTTGCCAGAGTAGTATTGAGTATATTGCTTCTACCTCTCCCAGTATAGAACTGAAATTATTCTTGTAATAATGAACTTTTTTGGGGGGAAAGGTGTTTGGAGGAGGGAGAGGTGTTTTGGGTGGAGTTTAAATAAATTATAATTTTAAAATCTATATAAATGTAAACTACAACTTCAAATATAATGAAGCCTGTGTGTCGCTCAGTCATGTCCAACTCTTTGCAACTCCATGGACTGTATATAGCCTGCCAGGATCCTCTGTCCACAGGATTTTCCAAGCAAGAATCCTGGAGTGGGTTGCCATCTCCTTCTCCAGGGGATCTTCCCAATCCAGGGATCGAACACAGGTCTCCTGCATTGCAGGCAGATTCTTAACCCAGTGAGTTACCACGGAAGCCCCATAAAAATGAAGTCTAGAAATAGGGTAAGCTTCAGGGCTGGGTAAAGTAGTAACACACTTAAGTAGTAATACACTGAAGTCATTGGAGATCAAATTTTCTTATTGTTTTTCTCCTTTCTCACAACGCTATTCCTATTGTTAACTTCACATGAAGGCACATTTCTTTTACCACAAGGACAAGCAATCTAGATTCACCCAGTATGTGCCTTTCTCCAATCAAAAAAATAACTTTTTCGTTCAGTCTAAGTAAGCCAACTTCAGTCACATGGCCACATCTGAATCAATAATTGATAAAGAAAACAGCCACCAGTTAAATGAATTAGGCCTGGTTCCTAAGTCAACTGAATTAGCAAGGAGAATGGGACTGTTATAACTAGGTTAGGCCAATGAGGGTCCAGCAGTGAATCTGGGATCAATTCCCCATATAGCAATGCAGCTTCAAAACAAAAAAGTGAATGGATTCTGGGAAGTTCAAAGTAAGTTACACTGTACCTTTGGAACTACACTTTACTTCCTCAAAGTACTGTACAATGCAACACTTTAGAGAGGGCTCTTGAGAGTCCCTTGAACAGCAAGGAGATCAAACCAGTCCATCCTAAAGGAAATCAACCCTCAATATTCACTGAAGGACTGATGTTGAAGGTGAAGCTCCAATACTTTGGCCACCTGATACGAAGGGCAGACTCACTGGAAAAGACCCTGATGCTGGGAAAGATTGAGGGCAAGAGGAGAAGGGGATGACACAGAGAATAAGATGGTTGGATGGCATCCCTGATTCAATGGACATGAGTTTAAGCAAACTCCAGGAGATGGTGAAGGACAGGGAAGTCTGGCATGCTGCAGAAGTTTATGAGGTTACAAAGAGTTGAACATGACTGATGGACTGACCAACAACACTTCTGACAACTGCAGAGGCCATAAAAGTAAAAAAAAAAAATACACTTTCCAACCTACCAAAGATTTTCTTTGTTCACCTTTACTAATGCATTTTGGACCCTCATTCTAAGGTCATTTTCCATCTTCCTGATGTATATCCTTTTAGAAATTATGTAATCAAAGTTTCCTGGTAATCAACACCGTCAATTTTACCAAAAATTTTCTTTATTATATCCTCATTCTTGAAAAAAAGCTTTTCTGGGCAAATAACTATGGGTTCACACGTTCATCTCAGCTTTGAAAATATCATTCCACTGTATTTTGGCTTCCATTGTTGTTACTAATGTTGTCCATCATTGTCCATCATTCCTTTGTAGAAAGATCTTCCTTTTATCTATTTTCTCTATGCCTCTCATGTTCTGCGGTTGTAATACTCTACTTGATGATACATATCGTGCTTTCTACATCTGCAGGCTTATGTCTCATCAATTATGGAAAATTCTCAGCCACTATTTCTTTCAACATTGCCTTTCCCATATCCTATTCCCCTCCCCCAAGGATTCCAATTAGATGTACATTAGTTTTACTAAGTTTTTCACCCACAATTATGAATTTCTTATATATTTTTTATAACCTTGTCTTTATAGGCTACATTCTGGATAAACTCTTCAACACCACTTTCCAACTCACCAATTCTCTCTTTGGAGATTATGGTTCTCACCTTAAGGTTTTCAAACCTTTTCAGTTGGGACACTTTTGACC